ATTTTTCTGACTTGATATTAGGAGCTCTGAAAGATTATTTCTTTGGAGTGTCGCTTTTTAGTAAAGTCATGAAACACGCAAGTGCAACTTCAGTAGAAAAGCTTATTTTACGACAAGCTCGATTATTATTAATCATTATTTTTGCAAAACAATTAAGCTTGATCTGCTTCGAAAAATCACCTTTCTGCAGTTTTCGGCACTTCTATGCGTCAAATGTGTGCAAAAATCCCTGGTTTTTTCCAGGTAATTCTTACAGACTCCAAAGACCGGTTCTATGTAATCTGGAGTGAGCGTGATTGTAGCCAAAGGTTTACTCTACTTTATAGCTCTTGTAGCTTTTCAAAGGTGTTATCAAAAAAAATTATCAGAAAGAGCAAAAATCTGAATTGAATCAATTGAATTACGCAAGTGGTTTAGTGTTCTCTGAGTTTTTATGACTGATCAAAGCACCGACAAACTTTTGGGATAACGATTTTTATCAGGTTGCAAAAATAATGCTTTCTTCTAGGCCTACTTTCCAGACAACTTTTTTCTTTCAAAATTTCTTTTTCAGTATAGAATCTGCACATCATTGAAAAGCTTTCTTTCTTCATCTACTTTCCATGAGTGGTGAAATTGAGCTTCTATCTCATCTGTGCGAATTCCACCCGCATCTCGCATAGCTGCACTCAAAATCAAAATTTCGTTTCTTTAACTCCCTTGGCCACAATTCAGACGTAAATGAACGAATTCTTTTGAAAACATAACATCTGTAGGGGATGAATATTGTTTACCCATTGCATTTAAGTAGATTTTTCGAAATATTATCGACGCCTCCAAGATAAATACTTGCTGCTGGCATTCTTATTGTCAAAAATTTCCCATGAAGGCAATCGCCAAAGCTTCGCTCATTTCTGTAAGCTTGAGATTGGGACAATTTTTGCAGAGAAACTCAGCTGTACAGTGTGACTTTCTAGCTTACCACAAACAGGCTCAAAAAGGTAGACAATTTGGGATTTTATTATTTCTTTTCGCAAAACTCTTTCGTTGTGTTTTCTGTATATATAATACATCTATTACAGAGTTGCAGCTACAAAATGGGCTGATTATCAGCTATAGGAACAAAACTTGAAAGGAGTTGTAAGGTCTCAAATACGAAGTCTGCAAAAGAGAACCTTTCGATTTTTTGACGCATGGTTTTCTTCCCGTTTGCACTATCAGTATGAGCAGGTGTGCGTCGAGCTACGAAAGGCTTGCTGCTTCTAACGGTTTTGACTACTTCAAAAAATATAAGGACTGAACGAAGTTATAACTTTTTAAACTTTTAAAAGGGACATCATTTTGGCACCAACCTACTAGTTCTTCCGTGCAATGTTTTCCCTAAAAGGCGCATTTAGTTTGCAAGGCATTTCGCAATCTTGTCGATCTTCTGTTAAATCGTTTGAATCAATCAGAAATACTTATTAGCGTTTGCACAACATATGCCACAATTTCTGCTTCTGTGCGTAGGGCTTCGTTCAGACTGAGTTTTTCGTGTCATTTTACATTCGGATTCTGTTCCACAAAAATTTACAATTTTGTTTTTTTTTTGTGACCATTTATGCATGCAGAGAGCCGGTTAAATTGGTGTAAACGCTATAATTTTTCCATGTTTGAATGTCATGGAATCATAGCATCTTGTACTCTTGAGCTGTTTCCCGAGCTTTGTCAACGGAACAAAAGGGCGACGACGCTGGAACCTCAGCTCAAAAGAAATTATTAACAATCTTAATTCACAGCTAAAAGAACAACCTCAAGGCTATACTATGTACACAAACGAACAAATGGCTTGTTGACAGCACACAACCACATGAACCCAAATTTGGTCTATTTTTATACAGTTCTACTCCAAACTACATTATATCAGTAATTTTAAGAACTTATGTGTTCAAGTATCCGTTCCCGAGTTTGGTTTCTCCACCAACACCAAACCAATTGGATTGGTCTGGAGCATAAGGATCGGAGAGCTCACATAAGTTTTGGACCATTTCAATTTGGAAGATCAGAATGCTCGAAAATCCATCATATAGTGAAAAGAGCGAATATATAGCCTCTTATTAATTGCATGCCAAATTGTTGTATATTGCAGATTCGGTTGGAGTTAGCCTAGGGGTTTTTAACATATTGAACACCAACAGAGCTTTTGATCAATTATTACGAAACTTGTATTTTTGCTTTTTTGTTGTATTAGAACATATGTCTTGTTTTCAACTTCTTACAGCGATAAGTCGTACACTTCATATTTTGATGGGGCGCCAGGGTGCCATTTGTTAAAGCAAAGCAAGCCCTGCAAGATGGTTTGCAAAAGTTCGCACCAGCTTCACCCACTCTAAGCTTCCACCTAGATCATAAGCCGTACTGAAGGCTCAGAAAAGAAAAGAAAAATTCATATCTCCGTTCAAAGAAATTCAACGAATCTCCGAGTTGCTCACACAAATTGCACACCACAGACACTTACATGTACCTATGCTGTATTTTCTTCTGCATCTAGGAACCTAGAAAGTACGAAGCTATGCTGTTTATACTTGAGTAACTGTATCCTAGAAGCCCTTAGAAGTACAACCGTAAATTTCCAGCTTTCCGCAGCCGTAGTTTTCATGAAGTATTGATTTTATAATGAAACACCCATTTCGAGAAGCTAAATTCGGTACTTTTCGAAAAGTAGGGCATTTGGGAAGCTGAAAAGTTACGGTTGTACTGCAAAGGGCTTGCAGTATACAATTATTATATATGAGCGGAAACAGCATAGCTTTGTTTTTGTACAAGCATAACTTTTTGTTTTTTTGATTTCTAGATGAGAAAGAAATTCAGCAACGGTACATATGGGTGTCTGATGTGGCGTGCAATTTGTATGAGCAGGTTGGAGATCCGGAAGACTTTTCTGCACAAATGTACGAATTTTCCCAATTTTTGAGCCTTCAGTACGACTCAGATTTTGGATGCAAACTTACGGTGGGTCGAAGCTGGTTCGGACTTCCGCATACTGTCTTGTAGAGCTTGCTTTGCTCTATCAACGGTACCCTGGAGTCTCAAAAAATCTGTACGACTTATCGCTGTGAGAAGTTCAAGTGTGACAAGACTTATGTTGCTAATATCAGCAACCCATTGCTTTGCTTTTGCATTGTTATGTTGATTAACACAAATTTTGCTACGAGTCTTGACGTGAAAGGGGACTTTGTAGAACTTGTCGAAAGCATGGGGATCTTTTTTCAAATATATTAGGTCGTTTCAAAAGTAATTTCGCTTTTTTCAAACGGGCGCCACATATGATGGAACAAAGGTTTCTAAAAGGTCTTGGAAGCATTCGATGCAGAATTTCATTCTTTTTAAAATGGTTGTGAAATTGTTGCAAAACAGTCAATGAGCTTTCAGAAAATAACCAAAACTTGCGACCAATGCTTTTCAATATGGTCAAGTTTCGCAATTTTTTAAAACTTTCATATCAATCTTCAGAAGGAATTCAAGCAACGGTTCGATAGAGTAAGCCTCATAGAATACAGTACTACTTTTTTCTCTTTCTCGTAGGTCGCCGTAATTTTTCAAAAGATTTTTTAACAGAACCATCGGATTTTGGCAGGCCCATCTCAGCAGCCACAATCGCAGCAAACATAATAATTTTTCGGAATTTGAGACTACCAAGACTGTACTATGAGTTAGCACTAACTTTACAAACAAGTGAGGGTTCACGGGTTCGAAATATCAAATTTCGTGATTTTCAGGTACAGCATGAGGCTCCTTAAAAAAATGAATTGTGTCGATTTTATCCCCGAAAACTAAACAAATCGGAAACAAAAACCGCCTATTAGAAAGAGAAGAAGATGCTGCGTAGAATAGTAGCCGAGCTGCTCTTCCTTTGATGTTCTACGAGGATTTAGCTGCCCAAGTATGAAAATCGGTAGCATTAGTTAAAATTCTGTCAAAAATGTAGGACAAGCTATGGAAAGGATAAAAAAGTAGTTTTGCATTCTATGGTTTGCTCCTTCTAATCGTTACCTGAGCTCCTTCTAAGGGTTGATATGAAAGTTTGAAAAGATTGTGAAAGTTGACCATCCCAAAAAGCATGGGTCGCAGATTTTGATTATTTTCTGAAAGCTCATTGATTGTTTTGCAACAATTTTACAACCATTAGAAAGAGAATGAAATTCTGCATCGAATGCTTCCAAGATCTCTTAGAAACCTTCGTTCCATCATATGTGGCGCCCGTTTGAAAAAAGCGAAATTACTTTTGAAACGACCTAATACATTGAATCAATGCGTGCGGGCCTGACAACAACTTTTCTTTTTTATCGCACATTTTCAGTACTAGCTGGCGTTCCGGGTCACGCTCATACCAAAACTAAAGTTGGCCGGCAAAGGCAAATAAATCTTTGGTTCAAAGCTGCTTAGGACTAACCCTTTTTCTTTCGTTTCCCTTGCACTTGTCTGTCCTGCTTCGTTTTCCTCAGCTCGCATTTTCCTTAGCGCAAACTTCATATAAGCACCATCGCCTTCCTTTACATGACTTTAGGGATATGGTACAATAAAGATTTATAAGCTCAATTTCTCTAAGTATATAAACAAATCAATAAATCAACAGAAGGGCTCAATGAATCTGGCACTCAAAAATGTAGCTGAAAAACATCACAAATTTTAATTCAGTTCTTATAATGATTTGTGCTATTCTATGTATCCTCGAGTCATTTGTAACTCAATATGTGGAAGGGCACACTCTGCACGGCAAGCGACGGGACCCTTACTGGTAACTTTCCAGTAAAACCTTTTCTGGTTAACGAAGCTTATTTTCGTGTCCTACTAACTGACATATATCCAACAAAAACAGACAGACAAACGAAAGGAGAGAGCAGGTTTTAATCTTGGAGTTCGTCAGATATCGCACATGGTGTGCAGTACACGTATTAAGTTACAAGACTCGACGATATACACTTGCGATGTATTGGATTCTGCAGTGTAAAATCAATGAAATAGCATGTCCCATTGCTTTCAGAAAATCTTCTAATATGATTCAGCTTCGCCCTATGGTTCTTCTCTACATCCTTCTTACTTTGATTGTCGCTGCGGTGGTGAGTGACTCTTTTGTTATTATAGAAATTATTAAGGCAGAAATTATATCTTTTCTTGAATCTTGATGACTGTTGGGTCGAGCTGGTTTTTGACTCTAGTTCTTTATCGTAGGTTAACTTTACTCATGTGTTTTTTTTATTCTGGCTTGCTGATGGATATAATGTACTAGGCTGTTCCCCAAGTTCTGTCCGATTTTAAATGCCTTGTGTTTTGCACATATTGCGTGTTATGAACATCATCTGAAAGCCTCTTCTCTCTCTTCCCGATGCTCGCTAATTCGATAAAAGCATTCATAATTTCAAGCCTAGAAGCCAAGCTGGCAAAGTGCAGACAAGTTCAAGGAAAAGTTTCTGTGAAGAGAATTTCCGCAGTGTTCGTAAAATATCCATGTCTAACACATTGGGTAAGAGTGTAATGAGCTAACATACGCACACTTCGCTCATACATACAGGATACTTATTTTTTAGATTTATTCACAAAGATTGAAGACAGACTCAATTATTCAACGAGCGACAACAATCTATGTATAGCGAAAAGTAGTGTATTCAATACTGCATACTGGTAGAGAAAAGCGAGAGCAAACATGAGCCAAAGGTCAATCAGCTCTCTTCATTCGCGACAGCAAGATATACCAGAAAATCAGAGCGTCCGCATACTTGCGCGCGCGGAGGAGGGCTCAAATGATGGCTTTTATATTTGTGTGGAGAAAAAATTTCAGCAGCGAACGCAAATTAAGTTCTTTCTGGCCCTAAAACATTCTATGAAATATAGATTACTTATGATGGCAGTCAAATATGTATGCTCAATCCTATATGGGAGCATTAGCATGACAGAAAAGAGAGAATTTGAGGAGACCTTGCAGGATCCTCCGAATTTTCACTTCTCTTCCACTTACCCTTTTCACATGGCATATTGTGTATACTGTTATAGCCGTAGGAGTCGGTCGACAGCAAAATTTGATTTGTTCAGATATTTCAATTTTGTAAGAAATTATAACGTTTTGGACCAGAAAATATGCAAATTGTACAGAACTTTTGGAAATTAATAATTATCTTGGAACCAGAAACTTCATTCGAATAGGGTTAGTAATTTTAACTCGTTGATGATACTTCGCGCAATGGTGCACGACACTCTAAATTTCAGCTCTCTAATGTGCGCAATCGTTCTGGGAATATGTCGAGCGTCCTCCCGTCTTTTGGCAAACTCAGCGTACTCCGTTGCCTCCCACAAAGAACTCTATTTTGAGCTCAAAGCGCATAGAAAAGGTATATTTTGGAAAGTAAACATAGATGACTGCGGAACCTCAAACTTCTTCGACCTCGGCCCCGATTCCCGCCAGGCAGACTCTCTAAATGGCAAGTGTTTACTTTCCAAAATATCGGAATTCGTACGAAATCTTAGAGTTCAAGCAAATTGGGCATTTTTTGCCAAGTGGGCGGAGCTTGTCACAAGGGCGGAACTGGCCTCCCAACTGCATATAATACATTCATAGATACATGCCAGTGGCGCGCGCCCCCCCCCCCCCCCCCCCCCCGAGAATGGGTCGCGAAATTTTTGAAAGTTACTTCCAAGGGTTATAAAAATGTGCAAATGATTTGTTTATACTTGTAAATAATTAAAATAATTTTTAAAAATTTTTAAAAATTCAAATTAGCCTTGTAAAAAAATTTTTTTCGGTTTGGGGACCCGCAAAAATTTTGAGAAGCACCCCTAAAATTTTTTCGAAGTGCGTGGCTAACGCCACGCACCTTGATTTGAAAAATTTAGTACTCTGCGTTGATACCACTGCTTATCTTGGGTACGCCACTGATACATGCATATATACTTGCAACTAGGCAAAGTGCACGTAAACGTCTCGTCCATAGGGACATGAATAATATGGCTCGTTGTCAACGTGTTGAAGATAAAACATCATTTTTACTTATATCACTCTTACTATATCAGTTGCCAGACTTTGCAGGAGTCTTTCAATGCTGCCCCCGGTAAAGGACAATGTTATGTGCCAAAAGGAGGTGACTGTTATAGATGCGATTGTGTGAAACCAGCGAAATGCTACAAAGGAGAGTGCCGATAAATTAGTGCACTGCCTCGACGGTTCGTAATGAGCAAGTAAAATTCGTACATATCTCTCTATCGTATGCTTAATGCTCTTGAATGTATACAATATCACAACGATCACAGATTTCATGCATAAATATTGAATTGAAGGATATTCTGTTATGTAAGGTCTTACTTGACTCGGATATACTCAGTCATTCTAAACGGACTTGTGCTCAGTTAATCTGAATTTCCGTAACAGCATAAAAAACAACACTGTATAGACTGCTTCGTTAGATAGAGAAAATAGAAAAATATTAGGCTGGAAACTAAGTTTTGCAACTTGTTTCATAACTTCACTCTCATTCAACATGGCGCACTCAAACTTTGGCATCGTGTAGAATGCATTGTGTGCTACAAGCCAGCACAAATTGTCTGAATTTTGAACACGAAATAGAAAAGTTTTAGACGTTTTTCGAAAAGTAGTGAAATTTGAGAATTTTTGGGGTTTCAAGCTAAAATGAAGCCTTTGACAGCCTAGACCATGCGCAGTAATCCGGATTCGTCTACATATTATTGCTGGAGGTTGACTCCTTTGGCCTATTAAGAAAGAAACAAAATTTAGGGGCATGTCGAGATTTGGCGTCCTCACAAAGTCGAACGAGTCGATGTACGCAAGAGCTGCTGGGGACGACCGTCAATGACTAAAGAGTCCGAAGCTCAAATTCCGCTGAAACTTTACATAGTAAGGTTATTTGACCTGCCAAACACGAATATCACATTCATTTGTTGAATCAACGCCTTTTTCCTTGTTTAGGGTGAGACCCCATATCGTACACCTACAGTAATCCTACAAAAGAGCCCTTATCACGCAATTTCACTAGCGTTTTCATGATCAGCATGTCGGATAACATCCCTATGCCAAGTTTCAGCCAAATCCGTCAAACTTTGAATTTTTCTCCTTCATACCATGCACCTACCGTAACCCTCACTGCGACGTCCGAATTTAGTAGGACAGCAGCTGAGCTTGTAGCTTACTTAATAACCAACGCAGTGGCAAAATTTGAGTGCGCCATGTTGAGTGAGAGGAAAGTTATGAGACTAGTTGCAAAACTTAGTTTCCATCCTAATAAAATAAAAATAAAAATAAAATAAATATAATAAAATAAAATAAGTAATAATAAAAATAAAATAATAAATAATAAATATAAAATAAAATGATAAAAAAATAATAATATATAATAATAATAATATAAATAATAATAATAATAAAATAAATCTCGAGGATCATTTTTGATCAAAACCAGACCGTAGGCCTTCGATCCCGAGAGATATTTCAAGTAAAAAATCAAAAAAGAAGCCGCTTTTTGATCTCGCTTCAGTACCTGCATATATGCCTTGATATTACAAAACTTTACATTCGTCGCAAGCGGAAAGTATTTGGTGAATGGGCCCTGCTAGCTCCTACTTCAATCTAGCACCTTCAGCGTTGGACCCATCGATTTTTTTTTTTACTCAGAGGAAGTTGTTGCCTTGTGGACAATCATATAATTAGCTTCCGAAGACTAAATCTACAGGCAAGAAACTTTATACATGATGTGAGTTTATGCTGTGCTATTCATCAAGCCCCATATTCCGTGACTAATAGGAGATCTAACATGGGAAGCGTATTGCGGAGATTTCTTTTGCAAGAACGTTTCTGTTAGGTGAGACTGTACTTCGCCCACGTGGGTTGACTTTAGGCCTACAAATCATTAGATCAAGAGTTCCAAATTCAATACGTATCAGAAAGTGCAAGAGAAGCCCTTTTTATGTACAAATTTTACCGCGGCAAGAACGAAAACCCCTTAAAACCGTTCTTTCGAACATACAAAGACAAAGATGGATAGAACTTATTCAGATAGACGGAGATCGATATCTGTAATTACATTTGAGTTGTGGTCTATACATTCATCGTGCACCTTGATGATTAGGTTGTTCTCCATTCGCGTCATATCATACAGAAAGAATTACGGGGATTATTTCACGGTATTGTTGCAAAGCACAAACAGCCAACAAATTTAAAATACAGTCGTTTTTAGAGAAAACTTGTTTAGTTTTTCTTTTCAGATTTTCTCTGCATTTTCTTGCTCTTTCGTTCTTCCAGAATTTCTATTTAAATCTGTTTGCACATTATGTTTCATATGGCAGTGGCTCGGGCATTCCGAAATTTTTCATCGAGTGAATATCGAATAAATTTGAAAATGGAAAATTTTGAGTAAACAAATCTTATATATGAAGCTGAATGTCTGTTTGTCTGTCTGTCTGTCTGTCTGTATGTCTGTCTGTCTGTCTGTCTGTCTGTACGTATGTTCCGAATACCATTTCTGAACCGATCCGGACCAAACTTGGCAGACATACACTTCGGGCCTCGGCGGGTGTCATAGTCCATTTCGTTATCGATCGATGTCGATTTTATCGATTTTTTGCAAAATTTGAGCTACGGGGCTGGGAGTTGGCACAGGGGGCTAATCGAGCATGCTGATCACCCACGAAGTGTATGTGTGCCAAGTTTGGTCCGGATCGGTTAAGAAATGGAATTTTCTATTCGGAACATACTGTGGAGCCGGGTAAGCCAGCTAGTATCGAATAAATTCGAAAAAACCCCGAATAAACGAAATATCGAATAAATTCGGAATTCAAAATTTTTTGAATGAATGAATTCCGAATGAAATTGAACCAAAAATATTGAATGAGTGAATACCGTTTGTATTCGAACATTGGGCGTCGAATTTCGAATAAATATTCGAATAATTTCTCACAACTATAGAACCATATCTAATATCCGGCTAAAGTCGGTTCATTCATAGTCACCAGCCTCACATCCCCCCCCCCCTGCCCGGTACCAACTCCCGCCATGCAGCACAAAATTTCCCAAAAATCGATAAAATCGATAAATTAAATTTTTATTCATAATCAGCACTCTCATTTACCCTACTGTACCAACCCCCAACCCCGTAGCTCTAGCTTAAATTGAAGCAGTTGTGCAATATGAGTTTAACAAGCAATAGTGCTCACTAGTGTGAACCTTTGCGCACCAAAAGCATGAGAACGTAAAGGAAGAGAAACAAGCATGTCAACATACTTCCAGTAAGTGAACGTGAACCAGGGCCATGAGCTCGAAACCTCATTGATCGAAAAAGCGATCAATCAAAACCCACATCTATCTTTTTACTGTCGCAAGCACTTGAAGGAATGCGAGTTTCCATACAGTTCAAAGGTGATCACGGCTGGAAAATGATGCATTATCGAGTTTTGCGGAAAAACGCACACGAGGCGAGCCTGATACTCAGCAGTTGGTTCTGCAGCAAACTCGAATAATTTGAATACGATTTTTATTCGAATACGAATTGGAAAAAACATTCGAATGAAATCTATTCAAAACCCTGTTTTTTGATTATTCGAGTTTCGAATTTTATTCGAAACCCGTTTTTTGAATATTTGAGATTCAAGTTATTTTCGAAAATGGGAAAACTTAACGAATATATTCGAATGTTTTATGAATGATCAAATTTTTACTCGATTCGGACCCAAGTATAATGCACAACCCTCTAATAGCTGCGCTGGAAGAGTGACATTGCCGGCGCTGAGCTCCCTAGTTGTAAATATGTTCGATAGTGAGGGATGTCTAATTGCTCGTTGATCGCTACATGCCTACCGGTTTCGCCTACGTACTGATCTTCACATGATTGATACGTCGTACGTAAAGCATTTAAGATAAACTGCTGCTTTGGAAACCTGTAAAAAGTTCCGGAATCAGCTTGGAAGGCTGAATTCAGATGTATAAGCTCCTGCAAGACGAAGGCGGTCGGCTCGATGTGCAACGCGGCTGCGACACTGCTGCGTCACAGCCACGTCACAGCCACGTCGCACATCGAAGCGACCGCCTTCGACCTGCAGGAGCTTATACTATAGTGGCAACGCAACGTGTCGAAGAGAATTGCTAGGTTGTTCCTAAGGTTTGTATGAAAATTTCATTGACTTTAGTCGTTTATAGTTTTATTACAACACCAACCTCAATAGAGATAATCACCGTGGATGTCAGTAATCTTTTGCTCATCTGTCGGGCAGTTCTTCGGCGCCATTTCTTCAGAAGTCGAGTGGCTGGCGCAGAAAAGTCGTCAAGAACGATTTTGACATCGTCTTCTTTTTTCAACCGTTTCCCACTCAGGAACTGCTAACGGACAAAATAGCTTGTGGTCGCAGGGCGAGAGATCAGGGCTATGCATGGGTAAGGAACATACCTTCGATAGTCAAGAGACAGAGCCTAGAAAGTGATAGTTGTTTGAGTTCTTGCCCCCTGTAAAAAGTGAAGGTTGTTTTAGAAAAAATAGATGGAAATTTAGAGATCTGAATTGAACCAGGAAACTTGAAAAATTCATATAAAACAGAAGCTAACACATCACCTAATTTAAAACCTTATCTTGGTGGTTTCCTACGCACATTTTTGTCTTCAGAATTGCCGGTTAAATTGGGTGGAGATGTGGCTGTAGTTGGGAGACCGAAAGAAGGCAAACTTGTCAACAACTAAACTGAACATGTTAAACATGTCTGAAAAGTTATGCTGCACATCGACGCCAATCTGATTTTTGGCGCGTCCTTTAAATTTTCACCCCCGCATGCTCGTTTCGTAACCTGCGACGTTATCTGGATTCTTCCGCTCATCATTCTGAGCAAGTAACGTCCAAGCTGGAGAAAATTCGTTGCAAAAGCATTGAAAAAGAACAAGGTAAAGAAAAACGCACTTTTTGGTAATTTTCACAAAAAAACCGGCATAAGCAATGAAGTAAGCTCGGCGACGTTGTCTACATTATAGACAGAAACAAGGCCTATCGAATACACAAAAAAACCGAATGAAAAGAGTTGAACTGAAGAAAAAACAAGAGGTTTTCGAAAACTCCGTTTTTCCTATATTTCTCGTTTAAGTCATAAAAAGGAGTCTTGCGACGTTGTCAGCGTGAAAATAGAGATCAAGAGCTATAATATGATATATAGATTGTCGAAATTGGGCTCCCAAAAAGGAAGAAAAGGGTACCAGAGCCAAATGCCCCGCGCCCCGCTTATGGGGTAGCGAGGTAGCGCGCAAGTCGCGGAGACGCAGACGAGCAGCGGAGACAGACCAGAGCCGGCGGGG